ATTGAAGCTCTTTGGAAATTTGAGATTCATAGACTGAGCTTGCCTTTCAAAGTCACGTAATTAGTTCAGGTATAGGTTGAATAAATTTTTAATAGAAAAAATAATTTTAGGAGGCGAGGTAGTATCATATAATAATGGTTAAACAGCATACACGCGATGTACAACGAGTCTGATGTTTGTCTGCACGTGTATTCACATAAGTTGTATGCGTTTGTTGATAATTCCTTTTAAAATTAACTGAAGGACAATTAACTGATAATAATTCCAAAGGCTGTTATTCAAAATACTCTATATAAATTTTTAAATGAGCTATTTAACTAATTATTAAATTAAAATACAAATAGTTAATTTTCACTTTAACAACTGCCATGAAGATATTAATTGATTGTTCACCCACCAAAGCGTATTCATTTAAAACTATGTGTTCATGAAGAGTTGGTGGAGGTATTGATCATCATTGAATATGAGCGTGAAGCAATACGTGAACTCTTCATTTTAGACTCTATAAGCTCTAATCAACTTCCATGTGTATTAAACCTGGTGTAGTGTCTATTTTTTGTAAAATAATATCCCGAAGATCAAAAAATATCTCATTTGCATGATTTATATAAGTTTTGTATGAATAATTAACTACTTTTCGTTCTACGCATGTCTGTACAGTTTATGTAAATGTTTTGTTGATATAAAAATGATTATAGCACTTTAGGTAAGATGTGTGTGGTGTTTTCATTCAAATGCAGCGTCATACATTGTTTATGCTCTTGAAAAATAGCCATAATTAAACTAATAGCTATTATCAATTCAATAATTTAACTTTTGACTATTTAATTAATAGTCAACATTTTCAACTTCTAGTTTTACTTTATTTTTTTTATATTTTCCAATTTTGTTGACAAAGCAAAGATACTACAAATTTTGATTTCAACACTAATATAGTACAAAACTCTGTATGTATTTGTGTGAGCGTGTTTTCGTTTGTGTGTGTTTCTGTAAATGTGTGTGTGTGTTTAGTTTCTTGTACGAGTGTAGCAGAGTCTCATTGTTTGCTAAGAGTAAATCAGGTTTGTCGGTATTAATACTGCGAATGCTTCTTACACGTTCTTCCCAAACTTCGAATGTTGTACAAAAAACATTCATTCTGTTTTAATAATTTTCTAATTTGTTTGTTTAAGTTTTTTATTCATTCAATCGTAATTGTTTTTTCATCAGTTAGTTTAAATTATTCAGGCAATTTTTACAAGTAATAAACAATGATCAGTGCTTTAAATGGTTCGATTATCTGGTTCAAATTTTGTGATGCGTGTTGGTGTGTCGTTAAAATAAAAAATTTTACTGGCATATTTCATAAAAGTCAGTTGAGAACGTGCACAAAATGCATTTTCTTCACCGAAATGTTTCAATTATGCATGCCCATACCCTGACTCTTCCGCTTGCAACTGCATTACGGATGCATATGCATGCAAACAAACATTTCAATAGCCACTCATACATACACACATACATACAATTATACATACATGCATACGTACATACATACATACTTACATAAATACATACACACATAGACATACAAACTCGGTTCTATTGTAGATGTGATAAACAGATCTGCACACTCCAATGTAGCCGGGATACATGGGTCGCTGGTCAGCTAGAAGTTTTAGTTAATTGGTTAATGTTTATTGAATGTTTGTTAGTTTTTCCGCGAACGTGTCAGAAACAATTTCTTTTTTAAAATGGCATAATATGTTAAACGTTATTTGTCATTCATCAAAACGCGTTCATTTAGAGGCTAGCCATTTCAAGCCTTCTAGTTCCGCAATTTTTTTCACAGACAAACAACCGACAGCATAAAAACGTGCAAAAAGTCCATACAGGTTGAACATCCCTTCGGATGTCTGATAATTAAACAAAGAGTTCATCAATTTTGCATCGTACGTTCAAACTTGAATGCATTGCATGCTGGGGAATAGGGGTAGGCACGACTTTCGAATCCTAATCAACCTCATGTCTGTCTGCTCGGCTAATTTAATTAATAATATTACAAGAGTAAAGAAATTTTTCTTCCCGTTTTCAAAACATAATTGAGTTGCAGCTGAATAGGTATATGCAAACAATTTCAGTAATATTTGATTCTTAATCAGTAGGCCACTGAAAATAAAATTTAGAAAAATAGGATTCTTCTTCATACAGTCCCAATTTGTGTAATCTACACGGAAGAAAAATTTAAATGAAAATAACACTAATGCCCTTGCAAAAAGATATAAATTCGGGTAACTTGATGCGCTGTTAAACTCCTTTACTGATTCATTCGTTACGTTGACTAATTTTAAATGACAGAAATGACGTTTGGATGATATTTATTCAACAGTTTTATTTCAAAATTAAAAATTTTCACAAATTTTTTTTGAAAAAATAAACATTATTACAAACTGAATCAGGTTAAAATGCCAGTCAGATGGGTAGTTTTGTGGTGAACGGCGCCCGTCACGTACAATGCCTGTGATGGGTACCTATGTATGGCCAGGCGTATTTAAACGAGCAATTGAGATTTCAATTTATATAAAAAAAACATTTTAAAAATGATTTTTGTGAGTTTAAAAAGTGACATAGGCTATTATTTGAACGTAAAATTAAATAAAACTCACTGAAATCAGTAAATAATAATAATAATATTAATATATCTTGCGAAAGATAATAATTATTTTCTGCAATTTTTTTTTGTTTTAAAATTTCATTAATTCATATTTGGACGATCCTTCCACAAACATGTTTTTACTAATTAACTCGTCAAAATGTATTCCCCATTAAGATCTCTCAACATTTTTTTAAGCCCCACGTTTGAGAAACTCAAAAATTTTCTTTCAAAGTCCAAAAATCCGCGTAAACAATCTCAGTGTGGATAATTTACAAAAAAAATTGAATAAAAAAAATTCCTTTTATTCTGTCAAACCTATTTACTCTTGGGCTTGTCTTATTATTTTTTTTTAAATAAAATTACTGAAATGTTGAGGGTTTAATATTTGCTGTGAAGTACTAAAACGTTTAACTAAGTTAGTCTTGCGGTGATTGTGTTCGAAAGCGAAGAGATCCTTACCTACTTACCACATAAAATATGTGTATATATATATATATATATATATATATATATATATGTGTGTGTGTGTGTGTGTGTGTGTGTGTGTGTGTGTGTGTGTGTGTGTGTGTGTGTGTGTGTGTGTGTGTGTGTGATGCATCGGTTCACACTTATTTTAATGAGCCATGTGATCGCGAGTTCTTCATAACTCTTCGTCGTACTTGAAAGAGAATTAACTACGCAGTGTTATATCACATGAATGTATATAATATCAATCAACCATAACAAATACTACCATCGAAGAGTGATGTCCAACTCAGTCCAGTCAACCTTGTTAGTAGTTAATTTATAAAAAAATTCTGTTCCTCAACGCGACGTACCATGTTAACTCACATCAGTGGAATACCATTTTTTTATTTTCTGTAACCGAGTTTCAAAATTTTTAAAATTTACCTAAGCGCAACTGCCGACTGACCGACAGTAGCGACTGACAATATAAATGCAAATGAAACGGCATCAGTCACTCTGGTTGTCATTTTGTGATCTGTGAAATTGCATTGGCCACATACTATCAACAACTGTCGTCACGCTAATGAAAGTAAAATAAACTATAAAAATTAATTATATTATTATTATTATTATTTATTATTATTGTCATCAATGATAATATGAATGATAAAAACAAGAATAAAAAATGTGGTCTCAATGAGTAAAGATTGTAACTAATCTTTTTCCGGTCTTTGTCTTCATCATCCTCATCATCTTCTTTTCTAGCCTATCATCATTATCATCATCTTCTTCTTTTTTATCTAACGTATCATCATCGTCATCATCATCATTGTTATTATCCTCATCATCATCGTCCATTGTTCATCGATCCATATCATGACACCGTCTTCTTGGGTTTAAAAATAAAACAAACTATGTTATAAAATTCTGAATATTTTTTTGCTACAGTGAAAAGTTCCATAAATATAAATTTTCTCAAATTTTCTGTCGTCATAGTTATAATTTTTATTTATTTACTCGTTTTTTTTTTAAATTACCACTGCCGCCTAAGCCATTTATTATTTTGAAAAACTGACGGTGATGTTTGTTCTGGTCGGATAACGTTGTCTAAATATTTATGTAACTATTTGTGTGTATGTGCATGCCTGAGTGTGTGCGTGTGTATGTGTGTGTGGTGTCTTTGTGTGTGTGTGTGGTGTCTTTGTGTGTGTGTGTCTGTGTAAGTGAATCTACAACTGTGCTAATATAAAAGACTTTACAAGCGTATTCTATTAATATCGCCATCGTTCTCTGCAGGTTTATTCAATGTATTTTTATTACAACGATTTTTAATCATTTGGTTGTAAGTTACCGAATATTGCGAATATATTTATCACATTTAATCAACTGCTAGAAAGTGAGTTGTTAAAATAATTCATTTAGACCGGCGAAAAAAATTTTCAAACTGAGAGATGACACATTTTACATTGTGGAGATCTTTCGAGTGCTGAGGACTTTTAATTAATTTTAATTGTTCAACATTTTGAAAGCGGCAAACACATGTCACACACGGGTCTGCACTCAGCGATGCTGCCACGTCGGTTTGCTCACACGCGCATTCACACACTCTTACTTACGAATAGACGTTCATTTAAACTCACGCGAGCTACGTTCGGGGTGCATGTACATTCTTAACGTAACGAAGTAAAACCAATCCGAACAATGTAACATATTTAAAACATTAATTATTGATTAAGTATATTTTAAATCGATCAGATATGAAGAGTCTTAACCTGCCAAAAACTGAATTGTTAAAAACAAATTAAGCGGAATGATTTGTGGACTATTGAGTTTTCATAAAAGCAACAAGTCATAAAACCCGTCAGAGATGGACAACGAGGACCTCGCCAACTGGACGCCTGACTCCTTCTTACTGGACATGTCAGACAACAACAGCACATCCTCCCTAACTACGCTCTCATACAACGAGACTTTTTCGTTCAACCCATACATTATGCCTTGGTACATTGAAGTGTTGTACGGTTTTTTCTTTCTCTTGATGGTTCTGGTGGCCGCCGGTGGCAACTTCATCGTCATCTGGATCGTGGTCGGCCACAAACGCATGCGGACCGTCACCAACTACTTCCTGGTCAACCTGGCCATCTCAGACGCTCTCATCACCATCTTCAACACCATGTTCAACTTCATCTACATGGCCCGCAGCCACTGGCCGTTTGGAAGCTACTACTGCAAGTTCACGCACTTCATCGTCCCATGCACCATCTCCTCCAGTGTCTTCACCTTCATCGCCATTGCTTTCGACAGGTATTTCTGTTTGAATGAACCGCTTGATCAACGAATAATATTTCAAAAATTCCATTTTTATAATTCAATTTTGATTTTGAAGTTAAACTTTTCATACATTATGTTTGTAGAGGTTTTTTTTTAAGAGCGGCCCATGACATTTTGTTAGGAGACTTTGTAAAGAAGCTTCTTCCAAAAAAGATCTGTAAAAAGAGAACTTCTGTAACAAAAACTTTGCTATCGAGAACGTCAATTTTAAGTCCATTTGAAAATTCTTTAAAAGTTTAATTGATCAACTTAAAAATTAATAAATTTCAACAAAAGAATTTTCAAACCGCATCAATATGAACGCAGTTTCAAATGTTAACATCTTAAAAATGTTTGGTCTTATTAGGTCTTTTCCATATTAATAATTAACAAACTTGGTCTGCTTCTAATTTTAAAATTACAAAACAAAATTCAAGTTTATTTCACCAAATCAATTTTATCTAATCAGTAAATTCATTAAGCTGAAAACGCGTTTCAACATCTGCACTGGATGCCAAAACTCTTAAACCAGCATCTAGCGATCTCAAAAAATCTAATTAGGCAAAGAATACGAATCGAGTTTTAACTTTCAACAGAAAAATATTGCATTTAGGTACATGGTCATAGTGTACCCGTTGAAACCTCGTCTCAGTGCTCGCAAAGTCCTAGCGGTCATCTTCGCCATCTGGGTCATCTCGATCAGCATCGCCGTACCAAACATCGTCTTCGCCAGGATCTACGTACACACGAACGAGAACAGAACCGTCTGCTATCTCAACTTTCCAAATGAAACTGAATTGAAGAACGTCGAGTTCAGGTAAATTTTGTTATAACAAGGCGAATTCGGAATTTTGGATATTTTTAATTTTTATAACCTCAAAATTTTATGAGAAGATAGAATAAAAGTTTCGTGAATTTTTGCAAAAAAAAAATCTTTTGTTCGATGTTGTTGTCATTCATTCCATCTTCATCATCACCCTAATTACTTCACAATTACAGAAAATAGTTATTCTCCACAGGTCACACCACCGTTCACCACCAATATAAATGCCTCCATTCTTATTTTTAAAATTGGTACCAACCTCGTTACGTTATGTATTAGTATCACGTTTTTACCAACATATAAATACAAAAAGTAAGAAAATCTCACGTTTCCAAACATTATTTTTCATATTTGACACTATCATTAATGTTATTATTAATGATAAACTGGCAAAAAGGAAATGTTACTGTTTTGCAAATTGATTAACCATTAACCATGTGCAAACACACTCGTCATACTTCACTAGCTCATGCAATATATATTAGAAATAGATTAAAATTTGTTTAGGCTAATTGATGCAAACAACAAAACATACAAAATATTTGTCTAATGAATTTGCTCAAAAGAATTTTAAATTGTAAAGCTGAGTACATGTTTTCTGACGCTCAAAATTTAACATGGAAAGCAACCAAACTTGTAATGTAACCCAATTTAATTAAACTCCATTGGCGAATTTTGAGAATGAAGTCTGCTTTTGATTGTCAGTCGAAAAATGATAAACATAGGGTCAATAAAAAAACACTAAAAATTTGTTAAAAAATCTGTTTATGTATATGTTTAAAATCATTTGAAACTGATATTTTATCCATTAATTTCAATGTGAAAACGTATTAAAAATTCCTAAAATTTCGTTACAAACTATTTGTAAAACTGATTATTCTAAATCATTTGCGTGTTCTTACAAAATAAATTTCTATAAACTGAAACAAGATTCAATTCTAACTTCGAATAAATATTTTAAAATTATTTTCAAACTCGCAACTAACCAGCTACAATCTGTTCTTCTTCCTCTTCACGTACATCGTACCCTGCATCGTTCTGCTTTTCACGTACGTGAGGATTGCCATCGAGTTGGGAGGGAGCAAGATGATAGGGGAGGTGAACGCCAGACACCAGGAGACCATCAAGTCCAAGAAGAAAGTTAGTCCAGTTTATTTAACTTTATGAAATTAATAATTATTAGTATTGAAACAGCTGCATGATGCTGTCTTGATCCGCGTTACAGTTACTGGGTTCAATTGCTAAGAGGAACTCTTCTATCCTTTCCTATCCTATTGTATCTAATTCAAAAACGTTTATAGACTGTATGTGACTAAGATACCTTTGACTAATACAATACAGAGAGAATAAATAACCACATAATTGTATGTATGTTATTACTTATTCAATTAAAAGTTAAAGTTCTGTTACTCACTTTTTAACTTGAGATGAATCACAGTACTAAAAGGTCATAATGTAAAATCTCATTTTTTTTTTAGGTAATATTACAATAATAAATAAATGGTTGTACTTAGAACATAAATGAAACATTTTTCAACAGTCAAGTTCAAAACATAGTTTGACATTCGTTTCATTTTTCTGATAGATCGATATTTAGATATGGTAAAAAAAGATATTTATAGAATACATTTCCAGTTTAAAATTTACTAAAAATATCATACATTTGTTTCTCTTGAATGCTTGCTTGACTTTCATGCTACGTGTTTGTAATAGTCTTGGTGTTTTGTTCCCTGGTCTTATGTTATGTGTTATGTTACGTTACTGTAAGCCATGCTTTGCTGTCTCTGTTGTGTTGTATGTTTTGTGTGTTTTTGCAGCAAATATGTTTAGGTTAGCAAAGGTTAAACATGCTGACATGAAATCATTAAAACTTCAAGTATTAGACTCATTTGTTTTACGGTGATATCATGTTATATTTTATAATTTGTAAAAAATTTTTTTTAAATTACAAGAATAAATGAATCTTCTATGATGTTTTTTTACAAGTTTTCGTTGATAATCAAGCATACTTTAATAATATTTATTTACTTATTTACTTTAATATTTTATTTCAATAAATATATTGGCTAATTTAAAGTAATCAAATTGATTCTACGTGTAATCTTTTCACTAGATTGTAAAGATGTTGGCTGTTGTGGTGACCATATTTGCCGTATGCTGGTTGCCACAAAATGTTGTCCTGCTAATCCATCTGGAGCCAGAGGTTACCATGATGCCCTGGTTCCACCACTTCTACCTCATCATCTATTGGATTGCAATGAGCAACTCCATGTACAACCCCATCATCTATTGCTGGATGAACGCCAAGTTGGTTCTGTCTCATTACATTGTCGTCGCGTTTTCAGCTTGCTCCAGTTTTGTGAATTGATACAAAAACATTTTTACAAAATTATTTAAATTTTTCTTTTTTTAATTTTGTAATACTTAAAAATGAACAATAGTTTTTATGTAAGGGGCAGATTTTATTATATTTAATTATTTCCTCTGTCGGTGGTCTCTAGTCAAAAAAGCCAAAATGACTTGTCGCCATCCGTTTCTGTTTTTCGCAATCTCTTCTAGTGTTACTCTATCTAGTTTTTCTAGTAGTTCTTCCGTGTAATGATAGCCCAGCTTATTCCAAATCTTGGCTAAGACAGTCGTTTCATTTTCACTTGTTTTAAGTCTACTTTTTAATCTTTCCCCTTCTGGTTCTGGTTAATACTTTCATATTTTCTTACGTGTTCTGAACTCCTCCATCCTCATCATATGTCTTGTCTTGTCCACTTCAATTTACTCATCTTAATAGTATCACTAATATTCATTTGTTCTGTTCCTTTCCTGATTTTCTCACTTGTGACATGATCCTTGTAGCCAATGCGCATCATTCTTCATTCTTCTGATCCACATGTTCTTGCACTTTTTTCCATTGTTCTCGTCAATACCCATGACTCAGTCCCATATTTCAAAACTGGGACCATCATAGTATTATAGGTATTTGGTTTGACTTTTAGTTCAATATCATGTTTTTGAAAAACTTTGGTGTGTAGTAACTGAAATACGCTTCATGCTAGCGCTTTTGTTCTTTTCTATTCCTCTACAATTCCACCCGTCTTGTTTATCGGGGTGACGCTTTTCCAAGATCCTCTAGTTTTTTTTTTCAGTCTTTTTAGTATGTAGTCCAGAATAATATTGAATAAGATCGGTGATAAAGTGCAACCTTGTCTGAAACCAGTTTTTTTCTGGAACCATTCGGATTCTCCCCCTTTCACTCATATATTAACCAAAACAGTACCATACAGATTTTTGATCAATCACACAATCTTTAGATGTGCCCACATTTATTGAAGATTTTCAATGCTTCTTCTCTTCTTATGGAATCATACGCTTAGACAAAATCTATGAAACATGTAAACTTTTTCAATGAACTCTATCTTTTTCTCCACTATTTGTCTTAGCTCGAAAATCTGATCAGAGCATCCTCTGCATTTTCAAAATCCACTTTGGTTTTCTCTAAGACCTTTTATGGTGTCACAGATCCGATTTAAACTATTTTTGTAAACACCTTTTCCGGTACACTAAGCAGGCTTATTCCTTTTAAATTTTATGCATATTTTTCCATCCCCTTTCTTGTGAATTAAATTTATTGTTGTATTTATCCAGTTTTCTGAGATAATCTCTTCTCTCTAAACCGTGTTCATTACCCTGTGAAGCCAGTTAATCGTGTTTTCTTCTGTGTATTGTAGTACTTCTGCAGTTATTTTACGGATTTTTAGTGTTTTTTTCCTCTTCATCTGATTAATTGCCGTTTCACTTTCCTTGCTTGATGTTATCTGCCATCTGTTCCTCTATCTTCGTCATAGCTGAACTAGTTTTCATGTTAGGTTTATTAAATCCCAGTTCTTTTTTTGGTCACCTCATATTTAAACCTGCTCAACACCCCCTTCCTCTCCTGTTACCATTTCCAGAACCTCAAATCAATTTTTGATCTCTTTGCAACATTGTTCTTTCACGTTCTCGTTCTTTAGTCTTCCAAGAGGCAGCTTAGATGGTTAAAAAAATTTTTCCTAATTATTATTTAAAATGATCTATTTCAACTTTTTTATTAGACTTTTATATAAAAAAAATGTTCGAAGATTTCGAAGCGGCTTCAAGTACGTTCTCCGCTGGATGCCGTGTGTAAAGTGGCAGCCATTGGAGCCGCCTACCTTCTGGCCACACATGGGCAGGTTCAGCACCACCGAACAGACGCACTGCATCTACCCCATGATTGAGATCAACAACAGTAATGACAACAGCAGCAACAACAACAATAAAAGTTTCATTTGTCATTATGGGCGTCAGAAGTTGAAGAAAAATTTGTCGTACAACTGCAGCAGCAGCAGTGGCAAGGAGGAAAACAAACTAAATGTGAATTACTTGAATGCCAACTGGAATAAAAACAACATCAAACACATCAATACATTCAATAACAGAAATAACAATAACATTTACACAAGTGATAATAAGAAAAATCTTTTCTACAGACACTCATTCCGCGATTTCAGCTCATATCGTTCAAACAGTCTCAAAGAGACAAGTAGCACCAACAACAACAAAAACATTTCCACTGCCACTACCAACACCACCAACAAAAACATCGCAGACAACAATCTCAACGAAAACACTAAAGACATCGACAAGAAAGCCAAAACAAAAAATGTTGCAACATTACTATCGACAAAATTCTGCAGCAAATCAACGAAGGACGAGCGACCGGCCACCAGTCAAACGAAAACAGAAGCCGATGATGACAACAACGCCGAGAGGAACGCTCTGTCTTAATTCACATACTTTCAAATGACTTTAATGTTGTTCTATTCAATTTTTTTATTTGAAATTGTTTCTACGAAATCTGAAAACTTTGCGTAAAAAATCATTCAGATACGGAAAATTTATTTGACATTTAAAGCGGAAAACAAAGTTTTTCACCACAACATGGAATTGTAAAAGTATAAACATTTGCGAGGATAAAAAAAACAATTACACAATAAACAAAAATATATTTGACCAATAGGAGCAAGAACATAAACTGACAAACATCAACACGTAAACACAAACACATACAAGCATCAACCCAAAGACACAAACACACAATACACCAACTCATAACGACCAGGGCATCAAACATCATTACACAAAACTTTGACATCATCAAACATTGTTTTGATGTTGTCGACGTGACGTTGACTCGCAAATTAAGCGATCGAATTTTATCCTTGCCACATTATCCAGCCAACATTTATAGGAGTTTTGCCAAACGGTGAAACTATTTCGTTCATGTTCTGCCATATAACCCATTTTCGTCAAAGGTTAACAACTGTGACAACAAACACAAGCTGCAAATTGGAAATTTTTGATATACGACGAAACATTTATGATACTACAATTTACGACAGCTAAATGATGTTACTGAAAACAATGAAAACACTATATTCCGTTTTTTCTCATTAAAAAACTTCCGAAAATATGAGCGTTCATCAAAATATTTTTTTACAAACACTTTTTTAAATTTTTCATCGTGCAGTTCTGACTAATACAAAGCTGCTAAAATATCACTTCTTACTTGACTACAACTAAACTTTCGTGCTACAAATTCTCTACATTCTGTATGCATACACACTGTACAGTACACCGCACCATGCATCTGATGAACTTTACGATTCAGACAGATAGCATTCGCAATAACAAGAATGCGAGACATGGCCTTTTTATTATCTGCGTCGACTGGCATGTATTGTTTGAAATAAAGACACAAATCTTAGCATGAAATTTTAAAATGCAATATTCCTGTCGGGGACAGCATTTTTATCATGGAATCATTTGCAATAAGGGAGGCAAGAAATCTGTAATGAAATTATGCCATGTAACACGAAGAACAAATGCTTTTTTTTTAGAAAAAAATCATCATCTTGAAGTGTAGAACAAATTCATGAAAGATGGATGCTCGTATGCAACGAACATGCAAGCTATACAAAATCACACTCGCGCAATAATGATGCGACCCGCACTTACACACCACAACACGACACGACGCAGATACACATTCACACAAACACACTCACTCTCCTTATAACACACACCCACACACACACACACATACACACGAAACCAAAACTTACCCGCTAACAAACAGATACACATTTGAGAACGTACGTACAGTACCAAACAACAACAAAAACAACTACCTCTCCATCCAACGCAACAACTTCTTCAGTTTAAAAAACAACAACAGTATAAACTTCAAACTTCAAATTCATCCAATGCCATATTCCAATGGGCAATCATTAAGTCAAACTCCAACAAATTCAGCATCAGTAACTGAAAAAATAAAATAATAATAAATATAAAGTATGATAACAATAAAATTGTTATTTATATAAAAATTAACTGAACTAACATGATAACATAAAACTATATTAATTGTAATTACTTTAAATATTATATTTCACAAATGGCATACACGTTAAATATTATTTTTTAACTATTATTATTTTTTTTATTAACGAACTTCTTACATAGACTGACTTGTCCGGTGAACAACATGCAAAAAAATATAATAATAATAATAATTAAAAATAATAATAATTATTATTATTATATAATTATATTATTTGATCATAAAGTCTACTGATATATATAATTTTGCATTGATATTTATCAAAAGAATGTAAAAAAAATTTCTTGAGAAAGTTTATAATTTATCATTAATTTATAATTATTAATTATTAATTTATTATTTTATTTATTTTATTATTTATTTAGTTTAGTTTATTTATAAAGTAGACTACGAAACAATAAGATGAATTATGACAATTGGAACTGTAATGAATATCGTGTTTTGTTTGTCATCCGTATTATTTCTACCTCTATTATTATTTTTATAATTATTATGCTCATTTCATTATGGTGAAGTGTGAATAATTTATTTGTCACTAAGCTCATTAACATTGATGTTAGTATTGTTGAATAAAAAATTTTTGACACAATTAAATTTCAAATTTAAATTTATCATTTAATATATTTAATAAATTCAAGCTTAAATACTTCATACAAGTACAAAATATTATTCGAGTGACATCACTTATGTGTTGAGAAGACGAAACCTGGTCTTGTACTGCACTGTTCTGTTTGTTCGTGTGTGGTGAGCTAATTGACTTGTAATCACATACAATGTTGGTACATCTAAGAAGTGCATCTAGAATGAATGGTTACAACCATTCATGTATCGTTCTTTAAAATAAAATTTATTTCACAAAGAAAGTTAAAAATTTTTAAAACTATTTAAAACTATTTTTATCGGTCACGATATTATCTCGTACATATATTTTTCTTCCAATTCAAGGGTATAATTTGAATGATTGTAATCTTAACTGTGTTTAACGTGTTTAAAATGAGAATGTTAACAACAGCGTGCCAGCTCCAATTTACTGAAGATTATAGCATCCGGATAAAACCTGAAATTGTATAGTGAAACCCATGTTTAGTAATAGTATTAATAGCAGTAGAAGTAGCAGTAGTAGTAACAGAAGTATTATTAGTAGTAATAATAGTAGCAGTAGTAGTAGAAGCAGCAGCAGCAGTAATAGTAGTAGTAGTAGTAGCAGTGGTAGTAGAAGTAGTAGTATTAGTAGCAGCAGAAGCAGCAGCAGTAGTAGTAGTAGTAGTAGTTGTAGTAGTAGCAGAAGCAGCAGCAGTAGTAGTAGTAGTAGTAGTAGTAGTTGTAGTAGTAGCAGAAGCAGCAGCAGTAGTAGTAGTAGCAGTAGTAGTAGTAGTAGTGGTGGTAGTAGTAGCAGTAGTAGTAGTAGTAGTAGTAGTAGTAGTAGTAGTAGTAGTTGTTGTTGTTGTAGTTGTCGTAATAGTGGCGATGGTATTAAAAAATGTAACAGTAAGAGTGATAGTAGTAAAAACCTAATAACAACAGTAATAATAATGAAGATTGCAATAAAGATGAGCGAAGTATGTTCAGTTCATGCGTTACTATATAGAATTAGACACGTCTTTATACTTTGCATCAAAGGCTATGCACACGATCATGTTTGGATACACTTGGATAAACTTGGATAAACATTTTTGCCAAATTAAGGGCTAATAAAGATTGCCAATGCATAGACACAATGCCCATTATATTTTCGAGCCATTCTATCCTTAACATTCATTCATTCGTCCACAGAAACCGATATATTAGCTACTAGTTTACTATTTCGAAGTCCACCATTCGTCTGATAATCATGATATTTATTCAAATCATCATTCTCAAGATTTTTTGTTATTATCACAATAGATTTTATGAAAATTTTCTATCTTTGTTATCGTAAAACTTCTTTCCATTTAATACTGAGTTGTATAAGTTGTCACCAATATCACATTTTCTTGTCTACATAATAAACATTGCTTTTATAGTCATACGTATCGCTAAATTTGACAACCGGTCAATACTCAGAATTTTTTTATTAACATTTTCTAGCAATATCACAAAATTCAAACTTTCAAATAACAGTTTTTCTCACTGAAATAGTCAATCCTGTAACCGCCATGCTAACGATTCACCACAAGTAAATTGAAACTGTAAATAAACATACAAAACGAACTGACATGACCAAGATAAAGTAAAAAAAATGTAAATTAAGAAAAAGTGCCCATGACACTGAAAAAACCTATCTATCACAAATCCCTTTTGCTTAATCTAATTATTTTACTTTTATTATATTATTTTACCGTTAAACGCTTAAATGCGATAAAGATACAGAGCATTCCAAAGAGCTCCAACGCGCGTAATAACACAGTAACTACTGGTAACATAGTGGCCCAAACATTACGTTGTGAAATATCACGATACTAAAAGTTCTATTCGTCATTCGTCAGATTGAAAATTTTCAACTTATTGACATCAAACTACTAATGCTATGAAAATTTTATTGATCGTTGTATAAGTTAATGCATTTTGTTAACACACCTATTTTAACAAGTTAGAAGTATTGTTTTAATTGAAAATTTACAGAAATGAGATTTTACCGTTAAACGCTAAAATGAGTTGCAGTTTTACCATAACAAGTTGATTATGAAATATATGCATGAATTTCTTCCTATTCATCTGGAAAAAAATCATATCTTACAGATGTTGTTGGAATTTTGTCGAGCCAAATTGTAAGCCGAACCGCGGCAAGTTATAGGTACATGATTGATTTGTAAAAGAGTAGTTGAAAAAATAGAAATGAACATTTTGATATTAAAAGATGAAAAAGACGTTTTTATTAATTGATAAATAACTTAGATTCTACCAAAGGCAGTTTTACCATGATATTAAGATTAAGGGCTAACAAAGTAAGTACCGACGGTTTTTCTTGATTGGAGCCCCAAGATCAGCCCGATCTAAATTAAAAAGAATCAGGTTAGTTTGATTTGTTCACAAACTATGGAAAATATTTTTTGATCTGTTTTACTTTATATTGTTCTGTGTTTAATTACAAATGTAGATTGGGTACATTCATTTTTCATGCGTTTGACCTTTTAGAACATTGAACAAATTGAAAAGATTGTTTTTATTGTTTTTTTTTAGTATTTCATTTTTTGTGGTTCATAGTAGCTGAGCACCTAAACTTTCAACTTACTCCTACTATTTAATTGAATAAAATTAGTCAGGAGTCTTCAATTCAAATTATTTATTAACTAATTCATCAGTACTTACGTTTATTGCTCAAGTTGCTCTTATATTTGTTCTGTTAATAAAATAAAGTGGTTGAACATTTACAAATTCTCAAAAACTAACTTGGAAAACTAATAAAAATGTTAATCTATAGGAAACTGATTATTTTAATCTGACAGCAATAATTTTATTTTCAATTTTAGTCTTTCTATAACAATCATTTTGTATAATGATTTACGGACTTGAATAACAAATCTTCTTTTACACTTTCGTCATGAACACGCTTTAAAATAAAAACAAAAACAATGATTTACATTCTAGTTTTGTAATAATAAGTTTATCAAAATTGAAACATCTTTCTTACGAAATCCTTATTCTAAATGTTATTTCGAAAACTATTTGTATTAAGTAGACGGAACAAATCCATGAAAACTGTCAAGTTAATTAACAAAACACAAATTTTTTGATAAATTATGATTGATAAGTAACTTATATGCACGTTGAAAGGTCAAAGTTTTGGTTCATTGAACGTGTTTAAAAATGATGAACTGTCTTAACTGCTGCAAACTCGTTCCCGATTTTGAAACTTATAGCATAGAACCGTCCAAACCAAAGCGTAGAAAAAGTCACAGGCCAATATTTCCAATTCAGTGCAAAAACCACCTGTTCAGCATTGTTTCGAAATCAGACTACAAAAACAACGACGAGCATCACTTGACTCTGCCTTTCACTCCATGTAGCAACTTTGATTTTTCCGAACTGCAAGTTTTCCCAAATTTTAATTCTTTCATCGGCCAAGATTTTTCAGCAGAAGATAAATTCATGAGAGAAGCTCACCAAACATGTAAAAGAAACTGTCACAACAGATGTACGGCTCGTTGCTATTCGTCTCAACTTGTTGTACAGAGAATTGAGCAAAGGCCCTCATACCACGACGACTTGATCAAGAGGGGGATACTCGTGAAAGGTTCTCTCGGGTCCGGATCCTACTCAAAGGTTAAAAAAGCCGTTGATGTTTATGCTAACTTTGCAAAAATAGCAATAAAAATTATAGACAAATGTCATGCAACAAAAGATTATTTGGATAGATTTCTTCCAAGGGAACTCAGTATTTGGATTCGATTGTGCCATCCTAATCTGATCAAATTAATCGATTTCTTTGAAGAAAACATGAGAGTTTACATGGTGATTGAGTACGCTCCTGGCGGTGATGCGCTAAACTACATACAAAAGAAAGGACCCTTAGATGAAACCCAGGCTAAAAGTTGGTTAAACCAAATCATCAATGCCCTCAGCTATATGCATAGCAGAAATGTTGCACACAGAGATCTTAAACTAGAAAACTTACTGCTTTTTGACAACTGTACTCGTATAAAACTTTGTGATTTTGGATTTGTTAAACATATACAGCCCAACAATTGCCTCAGTGACACATTTTGTGGCTCAAAAGCTTACGCTGCTCCGGAAATACTGAGTGGTCAAGCGTACGATCCTAAGAAAGGTGACGTGTGGGCTTTAGGTGTTGTTTTATTCATCATTATAACTGGTAAGATGCCATTCAATGAAACTAGAGGTATCAAAAATGTTTTAGAAGAACAAGCAGCTTTGAACTTAGGTGAAATAAATACATGTTTTGAAAAAATCATTCTGCAAGCCTTTACGTGGAACGTCGCACTGAGGCCAGATATTGATTCATTGCAGCTTGATCCTTGGATTGAAGATTAATTAACATTTTTGATTTTCAACTGCCACTTTGACATTTGAATTGTTAACATTTTTTGTACTATGTATTAACAATTATTGAAATGTAAACTCACTCAAATTAACTTTTTGGTGTAAAACTAAACAATGAAATACAAAAGGTTTCATCAATTTTAAAGTAATTTCATTTTTGATCATGAAATATTTAAAAAACATCTAAACGTTACATTTTTATTTATTGGAATTTTTTAATAATTTACAACTAATCAAAGTTTTGCAGCTCTGTTTTTATGAACACAATTACGTTCCTGCTAAATAAAAACAAAAACAATGTATTGCTTGAAAATATTTTGGTTTATTCTAATGTTTTGCTAGACATAGTGAAAAAAAATGTTTTAAACATACTTCAACAGATAATCAAAAACAAAACATGTGTGATGAACAAATGAAAAAAATTCAATCGTGGAAAATCTCTAAATTAAAAGTTTCAGCTGATTTCATCAACAATATATTATAATGGATGATACTTCATTTTGAAATTTTACTCTGGTTTTGTTCGTATCCAATATTTCGATCTGAAACTTATTTCATTCAATGACATTGCATGGACCAGAATTCTCTTATTCGACAAAAAGCACATTCAAGTTCTACATTTAAAAATTTAAACAACGCTCAAACCTTTTCTAGAAAAACACAATCAAAAAACATTTATTTTATATCTAGATCCAATTCTAAAGAACTAATAAGTTCTTCAACTGATAATGAAAAAAATGTTCAAAATACTTGTAGCAATAAAAATTTTAAAAACATTTCCGATAACCATTTTCATTTTGGCAATAATTACGATAATAGGACAATTGAAAATAACGACAAGATTAGCCCTTTGACGAACCAATGTTGTTTCTCGGTGTCAAGGTCGGAGTCATTATGTTGGCAAGATTCGGATAATTCTCAGCCATCATTTCACGTCAGGAGAGTGAACAGACCTTCAATAATTAGGAAACGTTTCAATCTCTCAAATCAAAACAAACAAGTTGAACTGTCTTTCAAGAACAGGAAATATTTTGAATTCTGTTCCTCCTCATGGGCAACTCATCGATCAGCAAGATGTGTACAACAGCATCAGTCTCCAGCAACCAGTGCTAACTCTGACGTGCTAACAAATAAATTTGACTGTGATGATAAACTAATAAATTTTAGAACTCTGGACCAACAGAACGAAAATTCAGTTAAGGGTCTAGATGCTGATGATTTGTTATTATTTTGCGAAAATCTCGGTAATAACCATTCAGCCATTGAAAATGCAGTGGAAGCTTGTGAAAACAACAGAAATGGCCAATTTGTTTTAGATGTTCCAGACAATTTTTCCGATCAAAGTGTTTACCATAACCGGAACATTGTAGATGAAGATATAGTGAAGTCACATAATTTGACTAAGAAAAACGATTTAAAATTTGATGGTTCAAAATTATACAACCTAGAAAGCTCTAGCTCTCCGATTAATTATTTTAAAAGTTTCCAAACAATTTCAAATTATGATTTTACAAACACAAACGAATTCAACAAAGAGTTGATTGCAAACAACCAGGATCAAACAAATAAACGACCTTTTGTTTTTTGTGAAAGTTACCAAACATCTGTCGGTTCAAAATACTATAAATATGATCCACGGATTCATTCTTCGTTGCAACAACCTAGAAATGTTTTTCAAACTTCTCAAAACATATTAATGTTTGAAAACCGTCCTTTACAACATCACCTACCGATTAATTCTGCTTCATCTCAATCAATTAACAAAAATTCAAAATATATACCTATACAATGTTATGAAAACCAGAAAGTTGTAAATTACCAATTAAACACTCAACCATCTGATATAAGAAAAAATACTAATTCGCCAACAGAGTCCAATTCTGATGAACATAAAAATAACGGTTATAAATATTTCATATGTTCCTCTAAGGTGAAGATGAGATCTGTAAATCAATCGCGATTGTTTTACTTTGAAAACGGTAGATTTAAAAATAATTTTCACTCCGATGATCATTTGTCTAAAAAAAATAATACGAGCCGAATCCAAAGCTCAGCATTTGCTAAATATCTTACACGGGATAGTTCAAATCAGTACGTGAACGTTGAAAGTACTATTGCCAATAAAAATAAACAACATCTAAAATCACTGGCGAAATTGAAAAACCAGAGTAGATCAAACAAATATTTAAAAAAATCTATTTCAAAAACGTTCCGAATAAGTGAAAGTCAAGAGAAGTTGTTTGGTGAAGACTGGTCACGAAATAAACTGGACAACCGTTTGACTGACGGTGCAGACGTCGACCTATCTGATACATTAACCGATTACATCACTTCAAGTAAAACTGATTCCTGGCTACCTCAGATGGAAATTGGCGTTGAAGAAGAAATTGTGGAAGCGGCAGAAGACAAAAATCAGAATCGAAGCGAAAAAACCGTTATCCAACCGATCGGCTCGATTAATCCCAGCTCATGTGTGATTCACGACAAAGAATCCAAAAAAGAAGAAGATGGACATTTTTCACCCATCATAGATTACTTTTTAGAAAATTGGTACGACAGTGAGAGCGTATATCCATTTAATGAAGAGATACTAAATAATTTTGACGGAGATACAAATACACTGTAAAATTTAGTTTTTTTTCGTATAGTTTGAGCGATCACATTCAGGAAATTTGTAAAACTTTTTCATTTTTAATTATAGCAAATCACGTCCTTATTAGTATTTATAAATTTAAATACATTGTATAGGATATTGTAAAACATTTTAAATTTGTATATTATAAAATATAAAGTTATTTTAATCAAATTTAAATAATAAAACTTAGCATTTTCTCCTGAGTTCAATTTTAAAACTTGACGTCGATGCTATACTTGAAGTAAACAATACAACACCATGTCTACGGTAGTTTAAAAATTTTACAATGGTCATATGAAATTCTCTTGAAGATGGGTTTTAAGCCGGTTCTCAATGAAATAATAATTGTAGATGACAATGACGGAGCAGTTAAATTCATTAGCTCGCTATCTCAACTAAATATTGAACTTTTAAATTCTTCAGTTAAAGAGTATGTAATAATATTAATTAACAATTCATCTCACATCTTAGACTATCAGTTAAGTTTTAACAGTAGTGCTTTTTATATTGAAAATAATCTTGGCAAACTGTTGCATAACGAAGAGAGATATGTTTGGTTAACTGTGCTCAACTTACCAGATGTAAAATCGAACTTGAAAACCCGTTTATATTTTAAAGTCTCATGGAATACATTCAATAACAATTTAAAGAAAAACAATTATGTGACTAAAAACCTTGTGGTGCCTTGTTTCTTAGAAAAAGTCATAATTCGAAGAAAGAAATTCGTCAAAAAGAAAAGAAGAAAATTGTTTAAATTTATATATGGCAAATGTTTAAAAACAGTGAAAAAAATACACTGTCATAAGCGACCGAAAAATATGAAAAATGTACTGAAACTAAATGAAAATTTTGAAGGATTGGAGAGAAAACCAACCTACGAACCCTGGCTCGCTGGTGGAGCACTCTTGCTATTCAACGTGCTCTCGGCAATTATCGGTTATTTATGGGCGTCCCTTTGAATTGGCAGCGTATTCGCCAAACTAAATGTTGACATTTGGACTTGTGAAATCTCTCAGTTTATATCATTATATTTATGACATAACGTTAAAACTGACGAACATGTTCAACTATTGCATAACTAACGAAATGCAAAAACAAAACTTTTAACATTTAAAGTAATTTTTTTTGTTTTTAGAGCAATATTCATAAATATAAAAATAATATCTATTTACTTTTTATTTACATTACATTTACAAAATTTTTCATAAAAGAAATATAAACCACCTTTTATTAATTTAAGAAAAAGAAGAATTGTAATTTTCTGACAAAGGTCGAAAAATTTGCTTTGTTAGAAAAAAATCCGTAAACATTAAGTAAGTGCATCCGGAGCAAAAAACATAGGTTCTATATGTAATATTTAGTCATTGAAAAGTTTACCAAGAAGTATTACAACAGACCCATTTGTTTTTTTTTAAGATTTTGAAACGCTTCATACCGCTGTAATGTTTTGATATTCTAAAATGTTTCTCTTAGTTTGTGTGGTTTGATGAAAAATTACAACAACCTGTTTAAATTTTTTAACAACATATAATTCAAACCTTTTGAAATTATTTTCTCTATAAAAAATTTATTGCATAATTTAAAACTTATGTTTAAAAAATTATTCATTAAGTTATGGTTTTAATGTGAAAATTTAAAAAAAAAATTAAACATCGGTTTGTCATTTCGATATACTTCTAGTCATTTTAATCAGCGTTTTCCTCCCATGTTATCAAAATTAGTTATAAGTTATACGCACTAGCCAAAAAATTACAGCACGTAAGGGCTTCCGAAGCTGAACCTTCCACACTTTAACCACACTACTGGTATTGAAGTAAGTCAACTTGTCGTTGTGTTTCCAATTCCGGAACTGAACGTTAATTAAACGACTTAGTATGTAAACGTGTTGTTTAAAGGGTTCATGTTTAAAGCTAAAATGTAGTTTCTGAACTCCTTTTTCCTCAGAGTAAGAGTCAGGTTTTTAACAGAGAAAGATAAATCGTAAATGTGATTTATGTAGTCACTTGGATTAGTTTAATGTTTCTATTACTGTTGGTGTTCGAATAAACGTTCAACTAAGTTTGCGCTTGAAGCAGTTATGTTCATTTATCGGAAATCTTGAACTTACGAATTAAAAAAACATTTGAGTATCGTTGGAAGCTACAACACTGGTGTACGAAAAAAGACCATTGAAGTTATAACAACGGCGTTGGTAGTGACGAACGTCAAGGGTTACAACAATATGAAACTGATACCGAAATTCATGACACTGCACAGGAATCACTTACATGAACAAGACAATTAAAAGACGTCAGTTATAAAATTCATCTAGCGGTGTTGCGTTGCTGATTTATATACTTGTTTTCAATAAAACATATCTTTTAAAAAGTTCAATTTAACACTTAGATTAAAAATTAATTAAAAAAATCTCTTTAGTATATTATTATGAAGATTGCGTATTGTTCTGACGTAGACCATATAATGTAGAGTGTGGCTGTTATGTTGATGCCGCATTACACGGCTGGTGTTACGCTAACTAGACGGTCCTAACTCAGTAGGGCGTCGAACGTCGCATCTACATTTGAATTGGGAACTAACGGATTACTGGATTACACGTATAGATTGTTAAGTTTTATGTTTTATTTTAAAACATGATATACATTTATTTTCTTTGGGATAAATGTTCTTTGCTTTGCCACTTTTCCTTTTTTTGTTGTTCTGGTGGATAATAAACGAATCAAAAACGTATCTAAGTTTATTTTTCTTCCTTTAATGTTTTTCAATATTAATTTATTAAATTTAACAATTTAGAAATTTAACAGGTTATGGGACCAGATAACGTTTTTTTATCAATTAATTGATTTGACGAAGAAAATTTAGAATAAAGAAATATCGAATAATTTTATTTGAAGACTGAAGTGAAGAGAAAACACGTGCTTTCTCATTCTCTTAAAGTCGATATTTTGCTTCTGATTAAAAAGGTCAAATTGAAAGTAATTGGTTGAACTGGATATCAAGAGTTCGTATAATAATACTACGTGGCATCCCTGATGCAATGGACGTAGTAAATGACAAATTAAAAGGTCCAGATGAATTAACCGATGAATCAAATGAAGATAAAAAAGCAAAATATCAAACTACTTTGAACAAATTACAATAAAGCAGATTGTAATGCTATGATAATTCTGTCAACCAATATAACCGATGAAACGTATGAAAAAGTTCGTTTATTTAGTAATGCCAGTGGTGTTTGGCTAGAACATCATAGATTGTATGATAAAGTTAATAAAGATAAAGCATGCAAATAATAAATGGATGAAAGTGATGATGTTGTCTCTCATGTTACAAAACTCAAGAATCTTTGGAAAGATTAAAAGGTCGATCGAGTTAGGAAAAGATAAAAACAGTGACTCATTGCTGATGTGTCAAATAATTGAAACATTCCCGGAAAAATATTTCTCGTTTGCTGCAAGTTGGAGATTGTTAAACAAGGCTGAAAGAACAGTTGAAACACTCACAAATCAAATGTGTAACTATGAAAGATCCTTGGAAGGCAAAACTAAAAGTAATAAAATATTATTTGTCAAAGCGACAAGTGAAAAGTCATCTCAAAACATAAATGGTCAGAAACAAGAAAAATTTGTCAGCAAATATGTCATTATTGCAAATTGCCAATCACAATTAAGAAATTGTGAAAAATGGCATTCTGATGGCAAAATGGCAGATCAGCAAAACCAAGAAATAACAATCTACGCGATGACAATAAGTCACTAGTTGTTATGGAATCAAGTGTTTTTGCATTTGATGAGTCAGCGTACACTGATGAATGGTTTTTTGACAATGGTGCAACGTGTCATCTAACTTTCCGAAGAAACATATTTCAAAGTTTTGAAAAATTTTCTCAACCGAGTAAAATATATGTTGCAAATGGTGATACTGTAGAAGCTTTTGAAAAAGGAGTTGTTCATCTTCAAGTGAAAGTGAAAAATAAATGACAATCGGTTAAACTCACAGATGTCTGGTATGTGCCAAAAGTAAAAATAAACTTGTCCTCGGTACTTGCAACTCAAAATAAAAACAGAAATAGCTCTTTTGTTTCAACCTCAAGAAGTTGTCATCTACTTATTGACAGTGTGGTAAATGTTGTTGTAATCAGAAGCAATAATGGAGGTTTGTTCAAACTTGTAGCAAAAACTGTTAGACCATTGAATTCTGAGGTTGAAGTTAACTTTTTCAATGATCAAGATGCACTGCAGCTATACCATGAACGAATGGGACATCATAATAAGAAACATGTCCAAATAATCGTGAAACGGGTCGATTGATATTTGGAACTCGAGTAAGAGCATCAAGACCCTGAGAATTAATTCACAATAATGTTTGTGGTCCTTTTTGCTTCACATTTCAAAATTTCAGATACTACATTCTGTTCACAGGCTACATATTTGTTTATTTTGTAAAATAAAAATCAGATGTACCAGAAAGACTCAGACAAATGCATGCAAAGTCAAGATCAGCTGGTCATAAAGTCTCAGAAGTACTAAGTGACAATGGAGGTGAATTTGACAACAAGGAAGTCAGATCAATTTTGCTAAAAGAAAGAGTTAGACAACGCCTAACTATGCCTTATATACCTCAGCAGAATGGTTGCAGTGAGCGTAATAATCGAACGCTAGTTGAAACAGCAAGAGCCATTAAATTGGGTCTAACTGCATCAGGCCCTTTGAGCCTAATTAGTTAATACTGCTGCTTACATACTCAACCAAACTGGACCATTTTGTAGAAAGAAAATCACCATATGAATTGTGGTTTAACAAGAAACCTAAGATAGCACATCTACGAATCATTGGTAGCACAGCCTATGTTCATATTCCTATGCAGATACGACGAAAAATGGATAAAGGACGATTAAAGCTGTAAATGGTATTTTCGTTGGATATGAAGGTGACGATGGCTACAGAATTTTCGTTCAACCAGAAAATATAATGCTTCGATTAAGAGATGTTATTTTT